TCTTTGAATGTTGTTCCACTCGTTTACAAAAAGGTTTGTAAAGTTTATACGATTTTACTCGTCCAGTCTTTGCCCGAACTGGGTCTCGAACGTGCTCGATAATTTTTCGCTCGCGTGCACACGATTTTCATGGTCGATACCAGAAGGGTTGAATTCGCTGGCGCGACGAGCGTTGCCAGTACACTCGCCTGATACTCCGAATAGCGGCCTAACGCATAAAGGATCCAGGACACGCTGGTGGCCGTGGTATCGTGACCGGCGAGTATGAACGTGTTCACCTCGTTCCGAATGTCCTCGTCGGTGAGGGCGTCGCCGTTCTGCGACATGTCTAACAGCAAGTCCAGCAAAGTCTGGTACTTGGTAACCCGTTCCTCCGCGTTTCTCTTCTCCTTCGCTTGCCACTGGCCCTTCCTCCCCGCGATGATCTGCGAACAAGATCATTGTACGTGACACACGTGGCCCTCGACGCCATTCGCCCTTTATGCACCTCGTTCGGGTTAGACGGTGGGATGAGAATATTTACTTTGTCGACGAAGCCGTGAACGACGCGCAATGCGCGCTCGTGATTTTTGCCCCATCTCGTTAATTTGAAGATCGGATCGAAATACATCCAGACGTTTAGGAATCTTCTTTGGGAGATCGAGACCAATCTGAGAAGACGACGGAATATTCATGTCGAAGTGTAACTTGCATATTTTTCGACTCAATGTATTTTATTCAAGTTTTTTAATTAGCTTCCCCTTGGCCGGGCTCGCGCAGAGTTACGATCGAATTGGTCGAGGAATTTTAATGAATAAAGGTTACATCGCAATTCAATCGCGTTGTAATTCTGACACATCGTGATTCAATTACATTGTCATTCGATCACGTTGTAATCTATGATTCGGATCTCTATTCAATTCGATTCAATTACAATGCAATTCGTAATTGCAATCGCAGCACAATTGCAAAATACTGGACAATTAAATTGCATGAATCGCAAATGATGATGCAACCGAATTGAAAATCGCGAATTAAAAAATAATAAATTAATAAGTAAGACTTCGAAAACATTGAGACATTAAAGTCGCGTTCGGTCTAGTATCGAAGAAGTTAATTGCGTTTTGAAAGATGTTCGAATCCTTTTCGCCAGCGGTTGAGAAAAATGTATTAAGAAATAATATACAGTATTAATAATAATAATATTAGGTGAAATTATAATATATTCTTTGGAAGACGAGAAAATTTACTTACGTATCGACAGCCTGTACGTATTCGTTTTTTAAATCCGTTTGCGCGTTGATGTGGCATCTCTTGGAGCTATCTGTAAAAATAGTGTACGTGACCGTTAAATGCAATTACGCAATAATATATCTGTTGATAAATATGTAATTTTACATATAGCACTGTCGCACGTGAACGTACGTAATTTTATATTTCCTATCTTCTAAAT